ATTACACACCTCACAGTCCGCAGACTTCCATTAGAGCAGCAGCGAGGAGTGAAGCCTGAACTTTCACTGTGAAATCTTGTGCCTGAAACTTCATGCTCTGCTCGAAGCCCCGCTGGAGAAGAAGAAGTGACTCTGACTGGTGCAGTAAGAGGAGCTCCGGCGACAACACCCGCGTCAATAAGTGCAGAAAGTGAAAGGGCTGCAGAGGAGAGCAGGAGTGGTGATCCTACCTTTAGCAGCTGCTCTTACAGATGTGCTGGAGCTGGAGGAGGAGGAGGAGGAGGAGGAGGCATCATCTCCGCTGCTGAGGTCACGCCGAGGTGGAGGTCTGAGGCCGGATGATGCGCTACAGAGCCGGGGAGAGGTGAGCTGAGGGCGGGTTCGGCTCCGGGTGGAGGAGGAGGAGGAGGAGGAGGAGCTGGGGGCTGCACCTCCTGCTTCACCTCCTCCATCCGAGCTCCAGCTGAGCCACACTTACTGGACATCCTTGATTTGGTTCATTCTTGGAGCCTTGTTGGTGGATGATTTCAGTTTTAAACACTTTCTATGTTGTAAATCTTCACCGCAGTAACGTCCTGAACACCTTCTCACCGAGCAGCAGGTATTTTAGTGTCACAGCGCCCTCTGCTGCTCGGTGGGACACGCAGAAATACTAGAATGACCATCGTTGGAGTGGATTTAACATCCATCCATCCATCCATGCATTATGTATACACCGCTTTATCCTCACCAGGGTGTGGATTTAACAGTTTAAATGTTAGTCATGGTGTTGGATGAACATCTCATTTACAGTCAAGCCCCAAAATTATTCATACAGACGCTAATTTTGACTTAAAGTGAAGTTTTCTTTGACCCAACGTATTTCTTTTGGCTGGAAATGACAAAAGGCATTGTCAATTTGAGTTAAAGCTGTTAATTTAAAGAAACGAAATAAATACGTACATTTTTTTGCTAAATCTGCCATGTCCAAAATGGTTCAGACCATTTTCTTAAAGTCTTATTTCGAGGTCTTGCTGTTTATGTCACTACCAGACAGAAGGAACCTGACAATTCACTACAAATCAAATTTGACAAAGACATGAATGATTTTGAGCTAAACTCCAGATTCTGATGCCAACGTCTGAAATTTAAACTTTTTCCGAATCATTCAGAATTCGACGTTTTCAATTTTTGAAGTTTTTAAGCAGAGTTTCAGGCACTGTGAGCAGGATTTAGTTTTGAAACCTGTACAGCTATGACGGGCAAACATGGAACCTGCAGTTCACATGAATTAAAAACAGGATTTTAGTGGCGTAGGCGGTGTCTTGTGTGCAGTAATTGAACTTTAGAAAATAAAAAACATGTGCACGTGCAGAGATTCTAGATGAAGAGGCATTCTCACAGGGTTTTTAAACATTTTTATGGACTGTAAGGCACAAATTATGATCCAAAATGTATATAAAACCTATTCAAACATGTATGGAACAAACATTTGTGTATCTATATAATGTATTAAGCCCAGTGTTTCTGGGTGCATGCTGTCAGTGTCTCATAGATCTCACATTGGAGCAGGATGATAAGGCACGAACAAACAAGGGTTCAGAGAGAGATTGGATGAGCTTGTTTAGCAGTTGTCATATCATGTTGTTTTATGGGCACAGTCTTTGAGCAACAAACACTTCATTTGCTTCTTTCTGGTGGTTTTTTTGGACAAATTTGTGGCTTTTCTTGCATCAATTTATAGTGAAATTTTCATTAAAAAAAAAAAAAGGAAATGAGAACCCAAAAACTTAGAAACAGGTGGCAATTCAAAATATATGAGAATATATCTGGATCTATTTACATTTTCCACGATAGAGTCACCCCAGATAGAATATTGTTGTTCCAAAGATGTTCTGAGAAAGTTCTGCAAAGTTCTAGTAGTGGTTTCAGTAGGAAATGTACTTTTTTTCCTCCTATAATGTTCTTCTGAAAGCTCTCCAAAGACCCTAAAAAAAAAACAACGTTTCCTTTGAGAACATCCTTATTATTATTATTATTTTTATTATACTTTTCTACAAGAGCGCTCCATGATGTGTTTGTCAACCACATCTCCAAAACATCCCCTGAATATCTTGAGCAAAATATTCTGCCTTTATTAATACATGTCATTACAGGAACGTTTTATTTAAGACACTTTCTAACCATCCCAAACATTTTTTGAATATCTTTTTGGGAACGTTTGTTTGACAGCATCCTTGGACATCCTCCCAGTGTTAAAACGTTCTGTCTTAGTTCACTTTTAACCTCATAGGAACATTGTTTAAAAGGATAAAAATCCTTAGAACGTTCTTTGAAGATTAGATCTAAATGTTTTCTTCAAAATAAAACCTGTAGGTCATGCTAGCCAACGTTGTGGGAACGTTATGGTTGACACGGAGGCCACAGTTGTGTTATGCATACACTACTGATCCTGACATAAAAACTGCACCACGATTCCGGAATCTGATCCTGCAAAGTCCATGTTTGATGACCGAATAAGTCATCGCTGTATCACATAAGTTCCATTTATTATCTTGTTAAAACAGGAAATATACTCGCGGCTTAAGCAAAGAGCAGAAGCGGTCGGTGTTGGGTTAGATTTGTGGTCACCATGACAACATTGTCTGACAATATTACAGCAGACAAGAGCTTAAAATGGTCCTCCAACGACCATTAAGGTTGTTGTTGTTGCTGTCTCCCTCCATTACCGCATGTGAATTAATGCTATATATAGTTTTTGGTCATGCCAGTGTCCCAGACCACTGATTTAACACGGCGGTGACCTTCTATGAACAAGCCTCAGAGGTCAATCAGAGTGTGTTCGACATGGACTCAAGAGAGCGAAGCAATCTGACGAAATCACTCACAATCATACGGAGACCTGAGTTTCCTGAAGAGGGTCCCTGAATTAACCGTCCTCTCCTTACATATAGCTCATGTGCTAATAAGTGGCCTCGCAACCATGAAAACACAGTTTTATTCTAAGTTACTGTCGTAGTCTAATTACTTTCAGTTATTTTGCAGTTATTTATGTATTTATGAAAGTTTCTTTTTCAAGTTATGTCTGTGAAACTTACGCTTGACTTTATCAAATACTTTCCAGGATAATTGTATTTTATTTTATTTTTTTTTTTAAATTTTGACCCACTTTTATTGAAATTTGAGGCTGTTTGAGCAACGATACCTCAGGAACTATTAAAGATAAAAGCTTGCAATTTTCTCACTTTTTTCATTGATTCAGAAGCTGTAACACTGAACAAGTTGATCAAATGATCTCTAATTATTGGTGAGTTAAAATATGAAAGAAAAATTAAAGCTGTCATCAAAAGTCTCACCTTTAAGCACACATTAACAAAAAATTAATAATGCATAAGTCAGCTTGTGATATTTTCTGAACCTGTAGCCTCACGTCACAATGAACCAAAAGAAAACACACATAACATACGTTTTAATATGAAATACTCGGTCACATAAATGGTTGAACTTTCATAGCTGATTGAGCAGGTAAAACAAGTTGCATCTCAAAAAGAAAGGTATTTGTTACGGAGTTTCAGATATAACTGAGAAAACACAGATATTTTCCATATTTTTTGTGTGCAAATTCTCTCTCTCTCTGTCTCTATGCAGTCGTGACTCGATAGTCCGACACTAAACGTAAAACTTTCTTTCATGTCGGATAGCAAGGCTGTCAGATTGTCAAGACGGAGGTCGAGATACAAGGAGGACTTGATGCTTGAATGCTCATTTGTTGTTAATTATTGTTCATAGTTGCTATAATAACTAGTAGGGCTGATCCCAATAGCACTTTCTGCTCTCTGGATATTCAGGCCCAATTAATGATGACTATCAGAATATTCAGCGCCGTCGGGGACACTTCCACCCCGGGGGAGCGCTCTGATGGGGTGGAAGTGGCCAGAACGCACAGGCAGTACTTGGCTGCTGATGCTAGTGTAGTTAGCGGTCACACTTCTGTTTCCACCATCGGGGGCCACCATCCACGTTTACTTCCATAAACACTGAGCTCGCTTGCTGCGTGTGACGTCGTCGTGTCCTCTTCTGCGCATGCGGGACACTTTTGGGTCGTATCAAGTTCACACAGCAGATCACATACAAGTCGTATTTCACTGGAAATGTGAACAAACTCACAAAAAAAAAAATCGGATTTCACAAAAAAAAAAAATCCTCATTGAGCATTAAGTCCTGGACTCTGAACGTAGCCAATCTGTGGGATTGTTCAGTCAGATAATACGCCGTTATCCTTATATGTGACATAAAATGTCATGTCGGAGTCGGAATCCAAGGCTGTCGGTATGTTAAGGCTGTTATTAATGGGTTCCGTTTGTTTTTCTTAAAAACCTGTCGGATAGCAAGGTTTAGGATTGTTAAGGGTCGGATTATCGAGTCACGACTTTCCTCAATATCAAGCAATAAGCATGAAATTCTGATATTAGTATAAAACTAAAAGTTTGCACAATAAAACGCCCCAATGTGAGTAATACTGGCATAAACTAATACAAGAAAGTCACAGCTTGCTTGTGTTGTATCTGCTCTCAGACATGCGTCACTTTGGATAAAAGCCTCTGCTAAATGAAATAGTTGAACTGTAAACAAAACAGAATTACAGAATATACCTGAAACTCTCTGATATGTCTGAAAGGTGCAGAAAAAGTGAACCAAATGATTGTTTTGCCATTTGATGTACAGAAAAACGAACAGTTCTCAGCTTTGATAAAAAATAAATTATTTGTATTTATAATTTAACATATACACAGTGTTCAGTTTAGGCGTTTCACAAAACTTCCATAAATTGATATTCTACAGAGCTTAGACATCAGTGCAAATAGCTTATTCTCACACATACTATCAGTTTCGGCTGCCTCCGTCTCCACTGGCTGAGTTGAACAGTTCTGCTTTGTTTTGTTTCTTCAGTCATGTGTGTTGGTCATGATGGTCGACAGCAGCTTTAAATCACCTTTTAAAAAAAAAATTCACAGTAACGATCAGAAACGTTCAACCTTCATCTCGTCTCCTTTTTCCCACGTGGTGGCCGGTGGCTTGAGTTTGTCGCTGATGCTGTACAGGGAAGATGTGTCTTTGGGAGGGTCCGGGTCCGGCAGCTGCCACTGGATGAAGACCAGATATATGATACTACCTGCAACACCTCCGACGTTTGGAGCCACCAGGGGAATCCAGAACCAGTAATCGTAGCACCTGGAGAAGAAACAGAGAGGTGAACAGGGCGGGAAAAGGATGTGCAGCGCTTGTTTTTTCATATCTGCAAACAAAACTTTTTTTGTTAATATTTTTATCCGTCCATTTATCTCAGTTTATCCAGAGTCAGGTTTTTGTCCATCTCTTCAGCAACATTTTCAAGCTCCTCCTGGAGGATCAGACGTTTTTTTTAGGCCAGATGAGAGTTCTTAGTCTACCCCAGGATCTCCAGATGTTGAACCACCACAGCGGGTGAAGTGAAGGAGCTACTTGGACTCTACTCCGACTTTCATCTGGGTCTCTGAGCTAACCATCTTTTCTCTAAGGCTGAACTCTACCACCCTTCGAAGGAAACTCATTACGGCTGCTTGTATGTCATTCTTTCAGTCTCTACCGAGAACTCGTGACTAGAGACGAGGGTTGGAACCTAGATCGACTGGTAAATCAAGAGCCTTGCCCACCTGCATTGATACTAATGTTGCACCAATTCGTCTATCCATTTTCCCATCACTCATGGACAAGATCTCAAGTTTCCTAAACTCTTTGGCTTAAGGTGCCAACTTCCCCTCAACCCAGAGGGAGCGATCTACTAGTTTCTAGTAGAGAATCGTGGCCTCAGACTTGAAGGTGCTTCATATTTGGCTGCAAACTTTCCCACTACATGCTAAAGGTCATAATGCTAATAGAAGCACATCATCTGCAAAAAAGCAAAGACGCTGAGGTTCCCAAACCGGACACCCTTCTTCACCCTGGTAGTGTCTTGAAATCACAAACGGGATCAGAGATAAGACTCAACCCTGGCAGAGTCCAACTTGGTGCCAAGAATACAAACTCTCACTTTGGATGAAGGTCTGGATAGCTCAAGGCTCATGGTTCATGGGTCACAGTCAGATGCCGTCTCCATGAGTCCACAAGATAAACTGGACGCTCAAACTCCCAGTACAAAGTAAAATGTACCGTTTTTCCCCTTTCTCACAGTTTAATGACATTGAAGTTAAAACTTATTATCTAATATGATGAACTAACAAGCTTGGTAGAAGCTAAAGAGGAGCTTAAAGGCCCCTGAGGTGTCAAAAACACAACTCATATCAGATGAGCAACTCTTTGTGTGCTTGAGAAGACAGTTGTTTGCAACATGTCAGGCATAACAGCTTGACGAGGTTATGTTTGGTCAAGTCTGAGTGTCAATCAGCTTGTTTTGTTTTTTTTCTTCCCTGTAGTGTGAAAAAAAAAAATTCTACTAACAGATAAGATATGAGTATTTCATAACCAGAGAAGCACCACAGGATCATAAAGTCGAGTACGCTGCAAAAAAAAAAAAGAAGAAGAAGAAAAAAAAACTATTTCATATTTAATAATAATCATAATAATAAAATTACTGAAAAAAATATTAATTTACTGGCTAAAACTGTAAATAACATCTCTAAACAAAAGCTAATTCGTTTTTTAATGTTTGTTCATGAAATTACAGATATCCAATAAAATCTTAGAAAAGTTTGATGTTATGATATGTTAAAAAAAAAAAGGCCAAAATTGTCCTCATATATATATATAATTTTTATTTTTTTTAAACAAATAGTTCTTCATTCTTTTATGTTTGGCTTTAAATTAACATTATTTTAAAGTATTTCAATCAGTTAAAAAAACAACAACAAATTTTTAGATATTCGTCATTGTTTGAAAGAAAATTTAGCTTTTGATTATGATCCCAAAAAAATGTTTTAAACTTTTTTTTACAGATTCCCTCTGTTTGTTAAATTACAGGTAATCTCTAGAAAATTCACAGAAAAAAAGTGTTAATTTACATGAAAAAAAAAAGACTTAATCATTGCATTATCAAAAATTTACATATTTGAAAATATGAATTAATTCGTTTCCTATGGGTGACTGTACAAATACATGGTTTTACTGTGTTTAAATCAGCAAAAAATATAATTATTTAATCATATTTTCATATTACAGTTTTGGAATGTTACCGTATACAACTATTTTTTAAATATATTTTTCTGGCATCGTTTGCTGTCAAGTTTTCGTTTTCTTTCTTTTTTTTCCTTTTTACAGCGTGGCTCAAAAGGTTACAGCTGATTGTAATCGGAAGTCCTTTAACCAACTGATACTTCAAGTTCTTTATGTTCTAAGTGATGATAACCTTTGACGTGTGGTTTGCTGAGAAACACAAAAATTTGCAAGAAGGAAAAAAAAAAAGTCCCCTCAAATGTTATGTACAGTTTGAATGAATTGTACAGGTTTATGAGGCAGAATATATTTAGAAAATATCTGGATTCGTATGTTTTCCTGACTGGAGAATTGTGTTTGTGCGCTGTGTATCCAAGATAAGAAACTCACGTGAAGACTTCGGTGCCCCAGCCCGCCGTGAACGTGAAGAGTCGAGGTCCCAGGTCCCGGGCGGGATTTATCGCACCACCACTGTTGCCTGTCATCGAGATGGAGAGCCCGAATACGACCACCGCAACCACAGCAGGAATCAGGTCGTCAGGAGCCGGAGCGTTCCTCTTTTCAGCCAAGCCCAGAATGCACAGCAGCAGCAAGGCAGTGCCCACCACCTGAAGAAATGCATGAGCTCAGTTAGTAAGGAACCAGCTGCCTCAGTACTGGTCAGATTTCTGGAAATCATCCTCACTTGGTCGAAGAAGAGTCTGCCCACAGTCACGTAATCTGAGGGATTCGGGGCAAATATCGATGCGGTCTCATTTGGGCCGTATACGGTCAACACTCCTCCGCTGAACTCCATTATAGCATCTGTGGACGAAACAGGAGTCATGCAGCGAAACAGCCAAACAAACTGCACGCAGATTTGTGCGTAGTAATCTGAAATGACAGGAGGACGAACCGTAGTAGACCAGATAGACGACAGCTGCTGCCACATAAGCCCCCAAAATCTGTGAGATGCTGTAGGGCAGCAGCTTTCTCAACGGTACTCGACCCAGAAAGCAGAAACTCAGAGTCACCGCTGGGTTCAGGTGGGCGCCTGTGGAGGACGGAGGTTGGTTAAAAAAAAATCTCACTTACACCTGCAGATTTTTCTTATCAAACTCTGTCTCGGGGGGAGAAATCGTCTTATGCAATTGCAAATGCTGCCCGTTTTTATAGCTGTGTAGAAGAGATTGTCTGGAATCTGGCCATATCAGAACCACAATGATGGGATACTGTATGACTTCGAAATTAGGAAAAGCATTAGTGTTGAATGCATGTCATCCAATTTGATATTAATTCAACGTTATTTTTCTCGCCAACACTTTGTTGCACAGACGGGCACCTGGTATCATTGCAAAGTTCGATTTGCGCTGTTTCATTTGATATGAGCGTCACCTCGGTGCAGTAAATACCTCAAGAGCAATTCAGCTGAGAAGAGGGCATGTGAATTTGTTCTGAAATTGCGTCTAAAGGTTAAATGGTTGTTTGGTGGAGTTTTATCTAAATTGAGGGTCTGTTGATTGTGCAAATTGTAATATCCGTCCAGGAGAGTTGTCAGCTTGTGACGCAACACTGCAGTTCTGATAAAACTGTTCATCCCTCTAAGAAGTTTTTCTCTTTTATTGCTTTTATAAACATGAACCATGGCCTATTTGTTTTTGCCCCGCAAGAATTTACAAAAAGTAATATCAACTGATAAAAAATATAAAATAAGTTATTGCAAAAGTAACTTAAAGTGACTCCAATAATTCAACACAAGTCTCACAGTTAGTGAAGTGAAGATCATCTGAGCAGTGAATTGTAGTGATTGCAGTATTAAGACACCTGCATCTGGAAGTCCTAGTCACTTCTGGATCCTGGATATATCTACACCACCAAGACTAAAGAAATCTACAAGCAATTTGGGGATGGATACAAGAAAATTTCCAAGTCACTCAATATCCCTTGGTGTGCAGTTAAATCCATCATTATGGAATGTAAGAAATATGGCACGTTCTTTAATCTGTCTAGAGCAGGTCGTCTTCAAGAACTGAGTGACTGAGCAAGAAAGAGATGAGTGAGAGAGGCCACAAAGACACCTATGACTCCTTGGAAGGAGTTACTAGCTTCAGTTGATGTACAAAAACTGTTTCCTGTTGTTTAACAGTCAAAGCTTTAAGGGAGTGTGGCAAAAAGAAAGACACTGTTGAAGAAAGCTCATAAAATCTGGACTAGAGTTCACCAGAAGGCATTTTGGAGACCCTGAAGAAGGGGACTGGAAAAAGATTCCTTGGTCTGACGAAAGCAAAATTGAGCTGAATATCATCTGAAATACTCAATTTCAAATGTTGAGCACGGTGGTGGCAGCATCAT